CCCACTCGTAACCAACTCTCAGGGGCAGTAGGTGGGCGAGCCTCGAGCCCGCTCATCTCGATCGTCAAGGCGTCGCTCGACGCGCGGTCTTCCGCGGGGGGAGCTTCGTCGACGGGTGCGGGACCGCGGCGCGGCTGGTGCTGCGGCGATGCCTCCGGCTGTTGCGGCGGGCGGCGCAGGCTACAGGGCTTGGCCGCGCCGGGCTGGGCCCAGGGGCTGCACTTAGCGAATCGCGGCGAGGCCGACGGCGGGCGTGCGGGCGCTCGACGAGGAGCACGAGGCGCAGCCCTCAGTCCAGACGTGAGGGATCTTGCAGTCGGCCTCGGAAATGTCGCAGTCGCACTTGTGCTCCGTCATGTCGTAGCAGCCCTCGGGTCCGTCCGGGATGGGCCCGACGCACCACGAGCACGCCGAGGTCCACATGCCGTCGGTGCACTCGTCCTCGGCGAGCGCACAGTCGCACATGCGCGGGACGGGTGGCGGGGCCCGGTAAGCCGCCGAGGGGGCGGGAGGGGGCGGGCGGGGCGGCGTCGGTTTGGCCGGGCGATGCTCACTTGTGGTCGCCGGCCTGGTTGTAGCAGCCGACGCCGTCCCCATCGCTGGTGCACGGCTTGACGCACGTCTCGGTCCAGATGTTGATGTGGTGCTTGTCCGCGCACTCTTGCTCGGAGAGCTCGCAGTAGCACTTGTGCTCGAACATATCGTACTGCGGCCGCAGAGCAGTCGGTCAGGCGGCGCGGGCGGGCGGCGCGCTTCAGGGTTGCGGGGCAGAGTGGGAGCGCGGGCGGCGCGCGTGGGGTTGCGAGAGTGGTGTCGCGACGCGCGCGGGGCGAAGGGGAGCAGAGAGAGTGCATGTGGGCAGAGACGCACGCGCAGACGTTCTTTCTTGTCGCTGGCGCATGCCGTGCAAGGGCAGAGGGGCAGAGGGGCAGAGAGAGTATGTGGGCAGCACGCACGCATCGGTTCTTGTCGCCGGGGACGGGCGCCATGCCGGACACGAGGAGCGAGAACGAGAGCATGTTGATTGAGGGCGAGTTGGACGCGAAGGGAGCGGGTGTCGAAGGGGACGTGCCGACATGGTGCGGGACACCGCGAATGTCGGCGGCTGGGCGATTTATTTTTCAGGCTTGGTTCTATCGTCGGCCTCTCTGTGTGTGTGAGTGTGTGTGTGTTCTCTCTCGGAAAGGCCCTGCTTGCTGGCGAGCGCACGTTTTAGTCACACTTTCCTTTCTGTGGCAGCCTGGCCTGTGTATGGGCCGCTGTGGCGATGGTGGCCGGCGTCCAAATGTCCCAAACCAAGCCCAATGCCGCGAGGTCCGGAGGTGCGGTGCCCTCGCCGTCGCTCAGACAGCCTCTCAAAGACGTCAGAGCTCAGTTACTTCTCCTCAGAGTTCGTCGTTTTCCGCCGCCCCCGCCTCCTCCTCAGCCAGCTCCGGGGGCGAGAGCGGCCGCCAGCCCGAGTGGTCGCCTATTCATGGTGACGTTAGCAGCCACGGTCCGCAGCTCTCTCTGTGGGGGGGGGGTGACTCGAGAGTGTGGATGATCTCCGAACGGCCCGAGCTGCAACAGGAAAGGTGGATGACCTATGGTCATCGTGCTCCGGACTGCTCTCCACGCACTCGCGGCCGCGCTACCGCAACCGCCCAGCGGAAGCTTTGCGCAACCTCGGAGCGATCTCGGGTCGGCGAGGTGCGCGGCGAACAGCATGCCAAGAAAGGCTTGCTCCTGTGCCGCCGTCCCGACGACATAGAAGTGAGTCGGCGGCGGAGGCGTGCTGCCGCCCGACCACGCGCCTGTCCCAAACTCGGACGCCACCGCCGCGGCGTCGACGCGCCCGTCGGCCGTCCGCTCCCTGCCCCAGCCCGACGCCGCGCCG